AATAGTCAAACAATCCTCGCAATAGTTTTTCTTCTGCTTATTAGCGCAAATTCCGGTTGAAATTGAGAAACGTGTGTGTGTGTGTGTATTTGCCCAAAAATTGCAAAACCATAAATTGATGCTTTAGATGAACGAACGAAAAAAGAGACGAAACAAGAAGCATATACATCATTTGAATTGATGCGAGCGCGATATATGTTTTTCAATCACAAATGAATCGGTTGGTTGGAGGCGTGGCAAACAACCTTAGCTTGCATTTGAGAGTTCGTCGACAGGTATGCCGTTCCGATACATAAACGCGCGCGCACACACACATCGTCGCACAGCCACACAGCCGCATTCGAATATTGAGTGTCCAATGAAAACATATCCGAATGAAAGTACTATAGTACGCTCATCGTCGTTTCGTGTGGAAGTGGAAATATCATTGAATATGCTTTTTCGGTGAGCTCGCCTCTGTGCTCTCCGCTCCGTGCGATGTTTACACAATTTTAAGTGATTCTGCGCGGTCGTTTGTCAGCTCATGCTCCGGAATCTGCTGTGAATTTTGTCTCGTTGTTGTTGTTTTTTTTTGGCTCATCCGTTTTTTTTTCTAGGTTCATGAAATAAAAAAAAAAAACAACAACATTTAAACAACTGTGCCGAACAAGGAAAATATGTCTATGATCGGATCTAATAACATGCATGTTTATTTTTTTTCCCTCTTCTCTTTCTCTAATTAAAAGTTCCATTTCAATATGAAACATTCACATGGCTATTCTCCGCATATATACGCTGGCTGCATTGTGTGAACTAATACTTTCTGGAATAAGATACTGTCGTAGCTGAGGCTATCACATTGCCGACGAAAAAATTAAGAAAATTTGTTTGAAAAAAGTCTTGTGAAAAAAATTCGCATGCAAAATACGTTTCGATGAACTGACCGGGTTGCATTCCTACGTAAGTCCAGATGCTTCGAGTCATTCAACTTAATTAAACCAAATACCTATTCGAAGGGTTTGTAAATAAAATCGTCCTTTTGCTCTCATTTGCAAGTGCATTACCAAAATTGAAGATGTCAGCTCTGTTTACAGACTGATTTTTTTGGAAAACGAAAAAAAATACATTCACTTGAGCTCAAATGTAGAGGTTGAACAAAGCAAACAACGGACTGAAAAATAAGTGCGTTTTATTGCGAATTGTTTATTCATGAATTCAAGGCGAAACGTGTTAGTTTTGTCACTTGATCCAATCAACTTACGCACAACACGACGATATTGTGTTCGGTCTCTTCGTTTGCGAATGAAAAAAAAAAAACGAACATGTTTAGTTCGACTTTCATGACGTTTTCGTTGCCAAGTAGGCGATTTCCGGTCTCTTTTGCTAGCTAAGTAAGCATTTTCATTCGAAAAAACGTATTTCCATATGAACGATTGCTGAAAAAAAAAAATACAAGAAAAAAAGCGGAATTTGATCGCAGAAATTGAGAAGTGTATAAAAATTTCACTCGAAATTCCGTAATTTCTCTCTCTCTCTCTCTCTCTCTCTCTCTCACTCCTTTCTTCTATCAAAATATTAATCTCGGGTTAAGCATTTAAAAGTTTGCTTTTAATTTTGCCGATAACAAGCAAAAATATTAATTAAAACCAATGCATTCAATTTGTTTATTTACCGACGAATCGCTCAGGCAGCGCTCGCGCGTGGCACACTTTATCTAATTACACGGGTGCTGCGGGATTGAGCACGGAAATGATTAGTTCCGCGTTAGGAGTGCGTGTGGCTTCAAATCAATTTGTTGTCTATTTAAACGAGCACATTCAATATACACACGTACAACCAGACACCAAAGTCAGGCACTCGGCAAATGCCAATTTGATTTATTATTCCATCTATGCATTCAGTTTTCATGCATGAACTACCAGCCGCACTGTATTATATTCAAATAAATTTAACCCCTTTTCATGCAAAATAGAAAAGAAAAAAAAATACCGGGAGCACCCAGCGATGATTGCAAAACGGCGCATCACATCGCCTCTCCGTGCTTGTTATATCTATTCATTTGCACAACATTTCGAATGAATAACAACACATATAAAATGAAGCATGAAAATCTGTACCGAACTCAAAATGTTGCGTCAAAGTTCAAAAGAACAATTTGAAGCCGGAACACACACAAAAAAAAGCCAGCATGTGAAACATTGTTGAAGCGCACCTTTGTTTTGTTCTCTGCGCCAATATATTTCGACGGAGTTTCGTTCTCACACACACATACAGAATCAGATTTATGGGAAAAGTATTCTCGCCTTTAATTCGTCGCTTACTGTCTCCGATTCACATTTGGCGAATCAAGTGTCGGCACGACAAACTTATTTTCAACTTTGAATCCAAGCCGATGTAATTTATTTTTGCAGAGCGTGGGAGACGGAAAATTGAAAGAAAATATTGCTGGTGAAAAAGAAGAAGACCCCTTCGAAAATGCGAGGCATTCATAAGCCAAAATGATTTATTAACTATTACCACCGAATTATTCTCTCGTTTCTGTTACAATTTTGCCAATTTTCTTTCGTTGAACATGAACGAACGCAAACTGACTCTCTCACTCGACTTATGCACAAGTTTGTGTTTGGTGTCTTTGATTTTCTTGCGATGATTAGTAAAAGTTTTGTACAATTTATCGCTTGAATGGGATAGCAGATTCTTGTGTGTGTGACCAAGAGAAATATGCTCTAGTTAAACTCAGCACCAAAAGTAGTTTATTATTTATACGACTTCGTCCGAAAAAAAACCTACATCTTAAGATAGGGTGTTATCAATCAATCAACACAAGTATGATTTGTAACAAAACGAAAGGATTTTTTTTTATTTCGTTCCGAAAAATATCAAGTCGTTGAATCCGTTTGCAAACAGCCAGGTGGTTGATAGCATAGCAAAATCATATTTCATAAAGTCACGTACTCGCAACGAACATCGCTCCACCGATGAGAATTGTGATTACACTTATTATTATTACCGCTGGTGAATTTTCTTTGCACCCTCATTTTCACGATGTGTGGGTTGCTGAGAGCGCCGTAACTTACAAACAGATATAAAAAAAAACGAGACGACAAGCAGAAGATGACAAAAAATTACATTGATGATGATAATAATAAAATGTGAAAATAAAGTAAATATTTCGTTCACGGCCGTTCCTCAGGAGCAAACGATAAAGGGCGAGCAAGCGGGAACAAACGAAACAGAAACAGAGTGAGACAGAGAGGGAAGGTGTGAAGAAAAAATAAACGATGCACGAAGGAGCAAAACCGTGCACGGTTGCGATTCCAACACTTAAAATATGTGACTCTGTCACATTGTCTCCCGTTCCGATTTTTTTTTATATCGATTGTCAGTTGCGATGGTACCAAAGCGATAAAGACATTTAACTCATCACTATAACGAGTTCCAATTTATTGGATTACATCAATGACACGCACACATACACATACACACGCACGTTGTCATCCACAATATCAATTCGATAGTGCATTATGGAAATGTACTTGGGTTCGATTCGCCTGTTCTCTCGTTTTGTTTTGTGACATGTTCACCAATCTACTTGGTCGCCGCTTTTTTTTTATTTACCTACGAGAGTTGCATAATAACATAAAAAGCCGAAAGAAGCCCAAACAATAGATTGATGGACTCGATGACACTAATAAAACTTGCCAAATGCTGGACCAAATCAACAGCATCGACTTCGAGAGAGCGAAAAAAACGGACAAAATTGCGCCTATTCCCAATCAATATAAATAAGGTATCGATGGATTCCTCAATAAAAAGCAAACGAACGACTGCACTACGAAAATATAGATGAGATTCTCGATGTGAAAATTACCTAGTTCTACTATTGAATGGGCACAGGGGAGGGCATTCTATTGACTTTGACACGTTGTTTTGTTGAGTGATTCTGGACATCGTCGTTGCGAGATAATAAGCTGAATTTTGGGAAATAGCTTACATGCTCTCTGTCCGGGCTAATTTAATGAAAATCATCGCAAAACTATGGAAATTGGTTCGATACACAACCAAATCCACTAAATCAATCAAATCAAATTTCGTGCTCAATCAAATGAAATTTTTCAGCTCAGCAGCTAGACGAACGAAAAAAAGACAATCTATTAATTATTCTGACGACGAACGAGCGAACGAGAGAAAATAAAAACTCAGCCACATTCATTCATGCAAATGCATCAAATGAGAGAGAGAGTCAGGTCTGGCAAAGAAAAATGTAATAAAACCAAGTACGTGCTTGAAGTGCGGTTAAAAATTTGCTCAGCACTTGAAACATCCTCTTGTGCCGTTAATCGACGTGTGCATTGTGTCGCATACATTGCTCAACAACGGTAAGACATCCGAAACCACAACTATATGCTGTTCGATGCGAACATCGATCTGTGCTCAGGGAAGAAGACGAGAGAGGAGAGAATGAACGGAACAGAGAGAGGAGAGAATGAACGGAACAGAGAGCGTCGAGAGAGTGATTGCAACAAAAAAGTCAATTGACATAGAGATAAGAGATTAGGCAGAGGGTTATAAAACAGATAAAATGACAATTTCCTATAGAAAGAGAGAGAGAGAGAGAGAGAGAATAATAAATCAACTTGGCATTGTCGCCGCAATTCATGTCGCATTCAGTCTCGAGCATTATTATAATATGCATTTCTTTGTGTGTTTCTGTATTTGAACAATGACTAAAATCATGTGCAATTCCAAAACCCAAACACACATACCGAATTAAGCGGTCTCTATTCAAATTCTGTTTACTTTTTACAATGCGATGCAAATAAATTCATCATAATTTTGGATTATCCACAAGTTTTAATATATTTCAAATGAATTTGTATTATTTGAATTTCTCATTCAATGCAAACAAAACACACAGTCTGTCTGTTTTAAAGAACTGAATGAATTTCGAATGTGGCAACACTGATTCGCTCGTTGATTCGCTCGCTTGCGGCAAGCCCATTCATTCACTTCAAACTGTCAGCTGTCAAACGAACGAAGCGCATGTCATTAGTTACACAATTTAATGTAAAAGTTGCCAATGCCAATTTTTCTATCATAGAAAATCCAACTATAAAACTATTCATTTCAAATAGTTTAGTTATCCATTTAAATTCGATTAAATTGTCTAATTTGTGGTAAGCATTTTCCCATAAGTTTTGTTCATGTGTAAAACGTCAATGTTGTGAACGGTGACAATGGAAAAATCAATGTTATCTAGTGCGAAACGTGCATATGTACCATCTGAGTGTAGTATTGAGTTATATATGGGCAATCTAAAAAAAAACTTGCATGTTCGTCATTTGACATTGGTGCATTTGCATCGAGAAAATACTCGAAAGTTTCATTTATTGAAACATTTTTTTTTTCTTCTTTCGTTTCGGTTCCAGTTAGATTTAGTTAAGTTTCCTGTTACATACACATACATATACATAAACCATGGAAGAATACGCACGTGAGCCTTGCCCGTACCGCATCGTCGACGACTGTGGTGGTGCATTTGCGATGGGTTGCATTGGTGGTGGTGTTTTCCAAGCGATAAAAGGCTTTCGAAATGCTCCATCTGGCTTTAGCAGAAGAATGGTTAGTATATGAACGATATACATCACCATTTTCCAATACAATCACATATTATTTGCGACAATTTCATACGATTGATTGTAAAGTAAACTTGTATACGTATATCAACTAAAATCTGTTTACTCCGTCACAGCTTGGCAGCTTATCTGCGATAAAACAACGATCCCCTATCATCGCTGGAAATTTTGCTGTGTGGGGAGGCATGTTCAGTACAATAGATTGCACATTAGTTCATTTTCGAAAAAAAGAAGACCCGTGGAATTCAATAATCAGCGGTGCAGCTACCGGTGGCATTTTAGCAGCAAGAAATGGTACGTATACATACTTCTTATAGGTTTTTTTTTTGAGTTTGCGTCATTCCCACTCAGAATCTGTGCTAATCGATTTGTTACCATTTGAAGGTATTCCTGCGATGGCTGGCAGTGCTGTTATTGGAGGCGTTCTATTAGCATTAATTGAGGGTGTTGGCATTTTGTTCACACGATTATCGGCCGATCAATTCAAAAATCCACTGCCACCAACAGAAGATCCGGCTGCATTAGGCGACCCATCACAACAACAAAATAGCAGTAATTCAGGTGCCGGTTTCTTTGGGCTCAGTCAACCGACGCAATATCAATAAATTTCACCAATTTCTAGACATCATAATCTAATTGTATTGTTGTGGAACTAATCCAATGTACATTACATTAACGCATAATAAACCAAAAAAAAAAAGTGAGAAAATTGTTTCAAACGCGCAAAAAAATAGCAAAAAAAAAGAATTTTGGTGTTTTATTTGTAGTTGAATTTCTAGCATGGAAACTTTGATATCAGAAAAAAATGGGGGTAAAATACCCAAAAACACTCGAACGATGACTTGCTAATTGCCATTTTTATCAACCCCATTCACTTTGACCGAACATAGACAAAAGACATTCCAAGTTACGCCATTCAAACAAGTTGTTTAGGGCTGATTGAAAGCGAATATACACATTGCAATCAACTAATGTACGTAATCCAATGGTGGTTGCACGCATCAAAATACCAATCCGACGAAAAATCAAAAGAAAATTTACGAACTTTATTTATTTATTCATTTATCTAAATGAAGATTCATTCACACTGCCGCATACAAAATGATTCATTAGGCGCAAAAGTTTGTGCCGAAACTTTTCTCATTTATGACTAGCAATTTATTAATCTTTCAGCTCGACTAATTACAAAGTGAAAGAAAAGACGTCGCTTAAAAAGAACGGCATGAACGTTGAAATCCTATTACTTTTTCTACAAACCGATCAAATGATTTGCTAATTCTTCCGAATCGTCCGAATATTTTTTCTAATATTTCTTCTTCTTCGTAGGCAAGAAAGAATGATATTTATAAAATTGAAGAAGTTAATTACGTAAAAAAGAAGGGTGTATCGAAACAAACAGTCAACTTTGGTCGAGTTTTTTTTTGTCTCTGAAAATTTATTGATTTCATGATTAACAAACACAGTGGCATCATTGCTGCCTAGCGCCAGAAATGTTTACATCCATTTTTTGTTCCATGAACATGCCGGTATCTCGTGCGTTGTTTCACATTACATAATTGCTTAAAAGGGTATAGTGAAATGAAATCGTGTTTCATGGAGTGCAAAAAAAAAAATAGAAGGATTGTCGCAAAGTATCTCTCTTTCTGTCGTTTTTTCTCTCGTTTGTATCATTTCGACCGAAACCCAACGAAGAATCTTATCTAGCCATTGGTCATGTTAAATGGATCGGAATGCAAAAATGTGCACATCATCACAAAAAAAAACGAGTTAATCTGAAAAATTGATATTTCAAACGCACTGTCTGTTTGTTTACTTTTTTCACTCTCCGGTATGAGCAATGCCTCCAAAGTCCATTCTAATGGAAGGAATCGTCAGGTTTGTGAAAGAAATAGAGAGAAAGAGAGACAAACACGAACAGTGAGAGAGAAAGAGAGAGAGAGAGAGAGAGAGAGAGAGAGAGAGTGAATATTGTTTAGCAAATGACTTGTGTGCAATACAATACGATACTACTCTACAATCTTTGTTCATGTTCTGTTCAATGTTTGCTGAAATATTTTCCTGTTGAGATGAAATTACGGCAGATGTGCAGTACATTGTTGATGTTTCAGCGAATCGTGAACAACAGTAGAAAAAAAAAAAAACAGTTTTCCGAGATATTGAAATCGTTTTCATAGCTCATACTGAATTGGCCAGTGTGTGTGGCTAGATACGTAAAACCAAATGCATTCGAAAGGTAAATCAAAGGAATAAGAAATATTGCGACATTTTAAATTGTGCCAACGACGGCATATTTTCGTTCAAGAGCTTCAAGAATTTTTATTTTGTTTTGCATAAATGACGAGCTGAGTTTCAGGTTCCATTCAGTTGGTTTGAATTCTTACTTTGGCACATTGTTTTTCACAAGCGATTACAATTTCACTATTGTGTTACTGAATTCTAACTTTTTTTTTAATTTTATTTTCAATCAAAACATATATTTATTCAGTTTTCAAGAAAAACAATTGAATGTATAAAAAAATTTGGAAATAAAATGAATGAAAAGACGGAATTTCTACAAATTCTCTGCATGCAGCGTGTGACAAAGTGCAGTGTTCGGTGGCAAAATTCAGTTAGCGAAGGGGATCATATATGCAATAACAATAACAAATGAATTGTCGTAAATCATCGTACAAGCGAGCGACCGATTTGTTCGTTGCACCCTCTTTTTCGAATCGTTCCCTTGGCGGTGGCTTCATAAATTGAGTCACCCTCTCAGTCAGTGTTGTAAAGACCAAAACGGAAAATAGGCTGATGCTTGGTATCTGTTTTTCATTGCGATGCACTTGTGTATTCACTGTTCACAGACCTTGCTGTTTGTCCGTACATTTTAAAGTTTACAACTTCCCAAAATCTTCTCAATATCCCCGTCCGGATTTATCTGATTTGATTTGAGTTTTGAAACACCAGATTTTTGCCATTCATACAACATCACGTTTTCTGTCAAGATTCATCGCCCATTGAGCCGTTATGTTATGGTTCTGTTGATAGTTTAAGCACTTAATGATACATCTCATTGAATATCATGTTACAATCACACTGAGAGATGGGGGGGATAATTTTTTGAAGCATTTTTAAATGGCAAATCAATGCAGACTAATGGTAACGTTTGCCATTTTTGCCCAAAAAAAAGAAATTCTTGTCATTCATTTGCAAAATCAAACGCCTTCAAATTTATGAAGCAATCCAAAGTGAGTGCATGCTTGTTAAAATGTGAAATTTAGAATGTGTGTCCATTTTCCAGACGCAACTATTCACACATGACCTAACATAATACGATAAGAAACAAACACGTGTCAATTTGAACTCTCCGTTTTCTTTTTTTCAAATTGATGGTTGATCGTCACACATCAGCGCGACACCAAGTGGAAATGAACACTCGTATTTAACGAATGTTCAGTCGATTTCTGCGTGAACGGATTTATCCGTTGACACATTTCTCACCTCCCATTTCAAATTAGAGTCGTTTTTTTTTTCATGTTCGGTTTTTTCTAAAACAAAGGCAATCATTGTCAAGCATATGCTTGAGTGAGTGACGTAAATCGTGTGTTAAGAAGGAAATGAATGGCACAATCACAGTTTAGAATCCATGACAAATTCTTGTGTGGAATGGTTTTGTTGGAGCTGGTATCAAGAAAACTTTGATGTTTGGCGGAGTGTGTGAGAGAGAGAGTGAGAGAGAGAGAGAGAGAGAGAGAGTGAGGAAGAGGGAGCGTAGTCGAGAATATAAAATGCCCATAATAATGGTAGTCGCAATTCTAGGCCATTATATTGAAATAAAGAATGAAAAGCGGGCGACAGGCAGCGTGATAACGAACGGCCGAAAGAAATCAATGCCGTACAACTTTGGATGGTAAAACGCAATAAAATTACACGCATCGAATCTCATTGCTTTTATCGCATACATATTCTTCTAACGATGAAGCTGCTTTCATTCGCCCAGTTTTGACCACTGAAATTCGATTTCATTTGCCTTTTTAAACGGTTACCAAAATTTCCTCGGTCGTTCGGTTGGTTGAGTCATTTGAATTTGTTTTTCTTGTCGTGGCTCTCGCTCTCTCTCTCTCTCTCTCTCTCCGGTCATTCTCTTGAGCAGTTCCATTTATTTGATTTGATTTGGTTGGTGGTAGACGGCAACGATGCTGATGATGATGATATTATTGTGCGTTCGATTTTCGGATATAAAAATAGATTTCATTGTTCACACAGCCGAGGGATAAAACGTTGTCGCTTGTTTCGACCAAACTGTCTCTTAGCGTATTGTATGTACGAGAGGTAAAATGAGTAAAATAACCATAAAATATCCCCAGTGAATTCGACTTTTTTTTCTTCTACTTTTCTCTCTCTTATTTAAAGAGAGAAAAAAAAAGAATCTCGCATTCAATACGACTTAATGCAGTGGCATTTCTGTACTTCATGCATAAAGACATCGTGAACAGTGTATGCACAAATCGAAGCGATTAAGATGCGAATGATGTGATAAAGAGGAACATTGTCGGCTTGGGAAAGGAAGGAAAAATTAGTATAATAGATGTATCACGTTACCGTTTATTATTATGGAGGAAACGATCCATGAGCAAATTTAACGTTTCATCTATTGCAATGGCAACATACACACACAGTTATGTGCATGACAATAGCCTCCGGCACAAGACTCGACTAAGCAGTACTACACACACACACGAACACATATTGGCGCGTATGGGTTTGAATACAAATACCGATAAATTATGATGTGCCGCTCACACTCATTAGCCACCGTAATGTGACACATACTATGAATTAATCGTATTGATAGCAACACCATTGTCGCGCTAAGAAAATTACACGTGCCAAATGAATCAAGTGTCGCATAGTCTTGATTTTCATTCATTGGTAATCTTCATCACCAGAAATAATAATAATAACCGAGTATGGTGTGCTCTTATTTGAATTAATTGTAATCGTTCGGTTTTGTTTATTTATTTTTGAACGAAATGAAATGAAATGATATATATATCCATTACGCAGTTTTATCACAACGACCAAGTGTAAATATTTTGCAATTTATTCTTCACGAAGGCATCGAATGTGACGACAGAAAAAGACGGAATTGTTATAGCCTACACATCAGAGATCAGTACGTTAACAACGGCAAAAAAAAAGTGAAGATTTCCTTTGAAAATGTTCCATTTTTGCCCTTTGTATCAAGTTCATGGAGGTATAAAAAGCCAAGTAATCCAATAAACACGTCGTCTTTTATCTGACCACACACCGACCGATGTCTTTTGTTTAAATATCATACAGTTCAAATTCGCACCGCAAACCCAAGCGATTACATCTACTCTACCCAGGGTACTGTGCTGCAACTCAACACAACCGTTACAATAAAATTTACTTGCAGATATTTACGGTTGACCACGTTAAAGAAGATAGGGAGCGATGCGCCCACATCGACTCTGATGATATTGGTCGACTTGTTAACTTTGTTCACACATTTTATTTATTATGCAGATTAGATCCGTTTCACGCAATTTGCAGCTTACGATGCTCCCTTTTTTTTATCGTCGTGTATCTCATATGCTTCGTTTGGTTAGCCGGAAAAATATATTTTCTGGAAATATTGCGGTCAGTGTAATTCACTTTGTGCATCACACCGTTGAATCCGAGAAATTGGAGTAACAACAGACGTCGTTTCTGAATGTTGCCTATCATTTCCTTTGCAGTTC